AAGTACTTGATAGTGTAATTAGCCATTGTATGAATACCCTTATACAAGAATGTGTGTATGAGTGATGATTTTATATATAACTCTATATTACAAGTTTGGTTGGATTGTGCATATTTATATTTATCACACAATGAAGTAAACCTTTCCTTGAAATTATCTTTATTGTATAAGTTAATTGTTGTGTCTGAACTATTCTCAGTCACGTGACATGTACTAGTATATATTTTCATGAGTTATATTTGCCTGGCTCAGGTATCACAATCCTGTAGTATGCGGAGGGTTGACCGCCGATAGCAACACTCCCGTGTCAACCGATATATCTGCTGATATCTACTTACTGTCTACTGACTCCCAGCCTTTATTGTCAGTGGAGTAGAGGGTAAATCCCAGGCCGCAACATACGGGTAGTTGGTTTCCTGCTATTTTTCAACTGAGGTAGGCCCTTGGGTAAGACTTCCGCCCGTATCCCCCTAAATTTTAACGATGAGGAAACGTTTCTTTGAGTGGCATTTTTAGAAGTTGGATATGTCTTTCAGTATGTTCAGATACAAATATATTAAAATTCATCCTTATCTGATGAGGAGTATATATTCAGGTGATGTGATTTGACTAGGATGAAATTGAAGGGGGGATACGGGCGGAAGTCTTTCCCAAACTTTTATAGCAGTGTCACTGAAATTTTCTGAAATCTTAGCAAGAACGTCATTAAATATACCTGGGGCATCTGTGCGCCTAAATCCTCTGGCTTTAAGTCTCCTTAATCTTATTCTTCCAAGTGACCTGTTTTTAATCCCACTCATAAAACGGAGAAATTTTCGGTGGAATAACGTTTGACCGATTCTCCAGAATTGTTTTATCTCATCTCTGTATCTCATTTGAGTTTCAAGTGAATACCACTGTATTACTTCTTCAAACAAAAGGAAAGCAGCGTTATCCAAAGGGAGTTTTCCATTATGTAACAAACGGTTGAACTTCATCCAGGAGTCAACCCAACTAACAATTTCACGTTGTCACAACGTAATGCTTGCGTTGTTACAACGTTATTCTGTGGACATAAAATAACATATCACAAGATCGGGACACAAAGTTGTGACACTTCATTTTTACGTCGCCGCAAGGTTAAAATTAGTTGATGCTAACGTATTTTCGTTGTCTTACGTTCTATTGAACGCTAATAGTTGAATAATTTTCCCAGTAATGAACAGTACATAAGAAACAAAGCAGACATTCACTTTAATGTTTATTAGTCAATTGGCATGTTGTTTTGGTCTTGTGTTTCCTGAAGCTGTAGCTGAATAGTGATGAAAGAATCTCTGACAGATTTTACAGAAAATTCTATGACACCAACTTATAAAAAACGTTATTGCGTGGTGAGGAGCCCAAGGTATAACGTTTCCTCAACGTAAAATATTTTAACGTTATAAATGGAGAAATACTAACGTCGTGACAACTTTGTGTCATGACGTTACCAATCTACAACCTGGGAAGGTGCCCCGATTATTTCAATGCTGAAAATGACACCTGGAAGAAGTTCAGTGACCTCGGACGTGACATCTTCCTCTGTATCAACAACTATTTCACAGCGACTTCTGGTGTTGCTGCACGCAACGTCGTGGCCAGTGTTATTTTCATCAACCTTCTGTTTCTTTTTTTAGGGGGGCCCTATATCTTCAACCCTCAAGGTCAATGTAAATGCGTCTGGTGTACACGACTTGCCACATTTTGGGATTTCTAAAGGAATTATCTTTTCAAATGTTTGAAGTCTTATTGTGTTGTGTTTACTGTCAATATCAGACATCCTTTGGCAAACCTTGATGACATTATGTCAATGGTGCTTACACAAATGTTTAATAATGGTTCAAAATTCTCATTGCCCTGCGCAATAATAACAATGGAAACTTCCACCCATGATTGATAGCAAACGAACAGGTCATCTCAGTATATCCTTTCGTTGTAATAGTGACCTACAATAGAGGAAAAGGGAACGAATCAGAACTCGATAGCTACAACTACCATTACAGTTTTGTGGGAGAAGAAACAAACAACCCGTACAGTGATGAAGCAGCTACCATCGATGCGTACAGTTATTGTTTTCGTTAATATCTCAGTTTGTATGTTTTGGCAGAAGCTAAAATCTTGACGCGCGGCTACATAACCTCATTTAACCTAAAAATGCACAATACGTGAAATGAATTCAATTGATTGTGTTGTAAAGACGACGAAAGTGGTCGATTTCTCGGCATTTCTGATTCACGCCGAAAGACGTGTCAAGAATTGATTCAAATGTAAACAAAATATAACGTGTCATGACCAAATGATATAGGGGTTATAACCCATGACCATTCAACTTATACGACAAGTCGATGTCATAAACATTTACTACTTGGAAATATCAAAATCTTACGAAGTTTGGGACTCACTCTTTACCAGGATCGACTGTCTATCGAGGAAATGGCAGTTGATGACGACCAACTTCCGGTTGAGCATAGACAGGGCTTACCCCATGTGGTTATGGCAGCTACATCAATAGTAACATTGAATCAACGCCCTATTAAAGTAGATGAATCAACGCCCTATTAAAGTAGACGAATCAACGCTCTGTTAAAGTAGATGAATCAACGCCCTATTAAAGTAGATGAATCAACGCTCTGTTAAAGTAGATGAATCAACGCTCTGTTAAAATAGATGAATCAACGCTCTAAAGTTAAAACGATAGATGAATCAACGCTCTGTTAAGGTAGATGAATTAAAGTAGATGAATCAACGCTCTATTAAAGTAGATAAATCAACGCCCTATTAAAGTAGATGAATCAACGCTCTGTTAAAGTAGATGAATCAACGCTCTACTTAAGTAGATGAATCAACGATCTATTAAAGTAGATGAATCAACGCTCTGTTAAAGTAGATGAATCAACGCTCTACTTAAGTAGATGAATCAACGCCCTATTAAAGTAGATGAATCAACGCTCTGTTAAAGTAGATGAATCAACGATCTATTAAAGTAGATGAATCAACGCTCTGTTAAAGTAGATGAATCAACGCTCTATTAAAGTAGATGAATCAACGCTCTATTAAAGTAGATGAATCAACGCCTCATTAAAGTAGATGAATCAACGATCTATTAAAGTAGATGAATCAACGATCTATTAAAGTAGATGAATCAACGCTCTGTTAAGGTAGATGAATCAACGCTTTATTAAAGTAGATGAATCAACGCCCTATTAAAGTAGATGAATCAACGCTCTGTTAAAGTAGATGAATCAACGATCTATTAAAGTAGATGAATCAACGATCTATTAAAGTAGATGAATCAACGCTCTGTTAAGGTAGATGAATCAACGCTCTGTTAAAGTAGATGAATCAACGCTCTATTAAAGTAGATGAATCAACGCCCTATTTAAGTAGATGAATCAACGCTCTATTAAAGTAGATGAATCAACGATCTATTAAAGTAGATGAATCAACGCTCTGTTAAAGTAGATGAATCAACGCTCTGCTAAAGTAGATGAATCAACGCTCTACTAAAGTAGATGAATAAACGACCTATTAAAGGTCACATGCAACCAAAAAATCAAACATAATTAAAACACAATTATCACTTATTCATGACATATAATATGCATTGCTGATTATGAAAAAACAAATAAACAAAATTATAAGCGTATAATCGCAGATCAAAAGTGCAATATTTTGTACTTGGGTTTACCTCCCTCGAAACGAAGCAGCCGGGATACCGAACCCAGTCAGAGCGGGTGGGTGTGCACTCAAGTGTAACGGCTGGTTCATTAGCTGATGCCGCCTTCACAGCTCATTGTGTGTGTATATATAGAGATGTTGGGTTTTGTAAATACATGCTCATTTTTTGTGTATAACATTTTGCAATCAACAGACATCATAACATGTCATGTGTTCAAGTATCACACCTGCCTGTCTGTGTAATTACATAATGTGACAGAGACCAAACTCGGGCCATAAATCAATGCGTTTTGTTTATGGTGTATAGCCTGATTGGTGTTAAGTTCAAATTGCATGTGGTCAGTGATCGCAGTTGTGTATTGATTATTGTCATTAGCAGACAGGCAGGCAGACACACAGGTGTCAATAAAACAAGACATTGAGTTTTGTCTGTGACAGCGACATATCTATATCACAGTTAGAAATTGTGTCAACGCTAAATAATGACATTGCTTTTAAGTATCTAACTGAGAAAGTGAATCGGTAAGAAGAACTCGTGGTGAAATAGACAAATGAAATTATATAAACAGTTTATTTACTGTCATAACATATAAAAAGCTCGCGCCTGTGAGATATCAACAAAACATTATAAAATGGCTCACACCAAACCCTTCACCGAGTATTCACCAGACAGCCCGCTTCCAAGTTGCGCGAACCTATTTCACTGCGCACGTGCTATGAGCGCAGCCCAGCTGTTGAAACCCGTATTCCCCAGAAAAGTCTGGGGAAAATTAGTGAAACGTTTGAACTCCGATTTCGCGCGTTTTTTTTCATCGCGTTATTTTTCAACTTTATAAGTTGAATTTGCATTTTTGACGCTTTGTTTCGGTAAGTCCATACCGAAAGGTATCAGAATCTGCAAAGTTGTGTTTTACGTTGCATGTGACCTTTAACGTAGATGAATAAACGACCTATTAAAGTAGATGAATCAACGCCCTACTAAAGTAGATGAATGAACGCTCTATTAAAGTAGATGAATTAACGCTCTGTTAAAGTAGATGAATCAACGATATATTAAGGTAGATGAATCAACGATCTATTAAAGTAGATGAATCAACGCAAGTACATGGTTCAACGATGTATTAAAGTAGATGAATCAAAGTCTTGTTACAGTACAAAGGCCAGTTCCAGGATTTTGGATTTGGAGAAGGAGGGGTGCACATAAATCATGAAGTCCAAACGGTTTGGAGGAAATGCTCCTCAGGGAAATATTTTTCGGAGAGGGGTGGCGCAACCCCTCTGGATCCACTCCTGCAGTATGTGAATCATGATCCAACACTAGAGTCTTCCAATATGCTGCCAAACCGTTTCAGATCATTAAAGCCTTTAATAGCACATTTCGCACCGGCAACGCGGCATCCAAACTGAATGGCATCGCTCAAACTCTTTCCGGAGGAAAGTGCTGCAGTGACGCTGCCAACGAAGGCGTCGCCACAACCGACTGTATCAATAACATGTGGCTGCAGGAACGCTGGTATAGATATGACGTCACCATCGGCTGTCTTCCCTGCGGCACCGCCTTCACCCCAAGCACAAATGGCCACTCCCCTATAGCAAACGAAAACAAGTAGCATTAGTTCCGACATTAGTGAGTGAGGTAGTTTCCCGCTTCTTTGGTTAATATTATGCTTATATCAACGCGTGTCGATAGGGGATGGGGGTGGGGGTGGGGTGTACTGCTGCGAAGACATTCAGAGATGTGCCTGGTCAAGACTCAGTTATATGCACATGGTCGTGACGCAGCTGGAATATGGTGGGGTAAAACAACTGTCACTCAGGAATTTAAATACTTCTGTAAATGTTGAAAAAGAACACATCACATGCGACAACTTCTTTGTAAACTGAAAGATTGGTGGTTTCATAACAAGTTTTATAGGTAACCTTGTATTATTCAATAACCCTGAAAATTACGTTAAAATTAAATCGGTTGAAACACACGGGATTAGCATGCAACCACCCATTTGTTTCCAAAACAATCACATGTATCTTAAACCAGCAGCACACGGTGTGAAGATGGTTAAATGGTTATTAACATTTCCATGTCTCTCATAAATTGGTTCTGTACATTTTATGAATGAATTGTATGTACAAATGTGTATGTTTTTATCTTTGTACAGAAGTGAGACGTTAATAAACTGTTGTCTGTCTGTCTGTCTATGTGTGAAGGCATCGCTTCAATAGAGGCACTAGCTTGGGGAGTAGGACTGAATGAGTTGCTGTGTTACCCTGGCTTGACCTTCTTGCTGTAGACGTCCACGCAGGTCTCTTTGCTGGTCAGGCCCTTAGACCGGGACCAGTCCTTGCTCAAGAACACGTAGTCCGGACAGTTGACAATGGTCTCTGAATGACATCAACACAACGCACTGACACAAGTCATGTGTGTACAGATAAATTTAATCGACTTAATATAGACATCGTTGTGGTCGGCAAAATCGGGGCCAAGAGAAGTCAGGTGGTACTACAGAATTATCTTAACGTTTATCTATCTGTAACCTACTTGATATTACAAAAAGAACCAAAGAACTGTAGCTCACCTGTACATGACCTCAGCAGTAAAACAGGTCAACAAAGGCCACAAACCAAAAGTTACTTCAGACATTGCTATTTAAATAGTTTCTGTAATTACGAATAGCTTGTATGTTAATTGTTTCTAATTGGGCAAGAATTAATTAGCTTCTGTATTAACGACACAGGAAAAAAGGTTAAATTTATTTTCCACAAACCTTCAACTTTAAGGAATATAATGTTTCTAATGACATATGATATCTCACACCAGGGTAGTTTGAACAAATCCTAGAACATCAGATTCAATATCTTGTAGTTTCTGAGGACTATCCTGAATGTGAACAGACAACAACACAGACGTCGATGACGCCCCTGGACACCAGACGCCAGACTCGGGACGCCGGCCAAACGAGCCATTATCATGATTATATGACCTCACTGAACCTTCAGCATTAACGGCTCACTACTGGAGAGTGATTCACTTTCACACGATCTTAAGAGCAATAAACTAAAAAGGGTTTCCGGAGAATGAGGTTCAGTCTAAAGGTGGGGCGGTGGGGTAGCCGAGTGATTAAAGCGTCCGCTCGTCACGCTGAAGACCCGGGTTCGATTCCCCACATGGTTACAATGTGTGAAGCCCATTTCTGGTTCCCCCACCGTGATATTGATGGAATATTGCTAAAAACGGCGTAAAACCCAACTCACTCACTCACTCAGGCTAAAGGGGTTTGTTTCGTCCCTAGTCACAGTGTTTCGCTTACTCTGATTAACCATATGTACTCAAAACATGCTTACATATCTCAAGCAATGTCACTGACATTGCTTTCAATAATTCAGATTGTATATATATGCATATTTTGGGAACTCATTATTTGGTCGCCAAATAGTTTTAATCGCCAATGGAACAAATTAAACCGTTTGTGGAAATGCTCAGTCTCTCGTTGCTGGGTTTCATGTAGAGCACGTTTCACAGGTCTGTCTAAACGTCTAATATGTTTACATGTATGACCTGGATTGACTGACATATTTTGCTATTGATTAATATAACGCCTTTCATTCAACCCGCCGCAAGCCTCGAGTGTCGCGATGTAATTAGCTGCATTGTGCGACACAGGGTATACATGACTTATGACGTCAATGAATGCTCGTAAGGGGAGCTATTAGTTTGAAATTTAGCACAGAAATCTGAAGCGAATCTGAAAAATGTGAAGTGGAAAGGTTGAATCCTAGCACTGTAATGTGCACAATTCTGAAGATACCAAAGGTTTCATGACAGTCTTCTTGAAACCCACCACTCCTGGTTCAGTCACGGACATACAAGCCTACATAGTATCCTTCCCTGCTGGACGACGTAAGATGACGTTAAAGTATATAATTTTTGTTGCCCTGCCTGGCGCTCGAAGTTGAGGAAAAAACTACGACCGGTTCTGAATTGGTTCGGCATAGTAACTCAATCTCTCTCTCTCGAACCCGCCTGCGTTGTAACGAGCGATCACTTTAACTATTAAGCTGTCCCTCCATCTTCTAAGTCGACAGAAATACAGCCCGTCGCTGACATGTACTTACCCAGTTCAGGGAACATGACTTGTTCAAGTTCCATGGATGTCTTAATTTGATGAACAGGCTCCACTGACTCGTTGTGTTTCTTGATCTTCTGGAACATCTTCCCATTTCGTCTGCGTTTGAGCGACCCTGCAATTAACGATTAAAGCATTAATCCTCCCACGCAGAGATTCCCCTCCCTTTCATCATCGGAACACAGGCAGCGTTTATACGGTTACAAATATAGATACCCGTTGGTGTGTACTACGAAATCATTTTATATGGAAAATAAGTATATATCATTTCTGATTATTCCAAAATGAAACAATTTTGCAAATACAAAATATAAAAGATCAAATTATTTTATAGAGATCCTAAGGCCTTTTAGAGACTGTTACTATACGTTCAACGAAGTTTTACGCCGCACTCAAGATTACAGCACTAATGCGTGAGTGCGTTTGTGTGGCTATTTGTACTACAGTCTGTTTGGGTCAAAATGATACCGATTAATCACAATCTAGCTCCACATGGATTCATGATCAGTCAATCATTCATTTCAAGGCATAATGTAATGAAAACATCAGAACTGCCCCGATTGGGAAAAAAAAACAACTTTCATGGCGTTTGTCTCCAAGATAAAAAAGTTACTTAACAAACTACCATCATTTGTTTTGACTTTCCATGTAAAGTTTTACGAGGGTAGAGTAACAGTAGTACTGTTGCGGGAACAGCCTCAATGGCGGGAAGCACGTGCAATGGTGACGCCACATCAACCATAGTCAATCGATTTATTGACACGTTACACGAGACAATGAAATGCCCCTCTGACATTAAGTCCATTAGTTTATGATCTTTTTAAGGTGAAAGTGAAAGGGGTCGCCCTGGGAAAATTTGTTCAACGCACTACATGTGCAGTTGGGATGTCTGAAAGACATTTGAAAAATTTATTAAAACAACGTGCAACCGAGTCAGGAAAGTTGACAAACTTAACTGTTTGCAGAGTTGGAAATGCTAGAAAAATGCTTTTTAGCCTTAATATCTTTACAAAGGTGATAAATGTATTATGTTGTCAATCAACTCACCTATAGTGTATCTAATTTTTATTTCAATTGATTTAAAGGGCAGTTTACAGGAGAGAATTTGGTACCAAAACAACGACTTAAGATTTTTTCAGAGTTCAACAACAGACATCTGAAATAGTCTTTACATTTATGCTAATAATACAGGTGGTGTAAAAATATAAATTAACGTTTTTCTTAAACAAATAAATGTTGAATGTTTGTGTTACTTTACTTAATTATCGTTTCTTTATTGAAGAAATATTAATATAAATGTTAAGTCTTGATAAATAAGTTTCCCGTCATGCATGCACATCTTTATAACAGCCTCCACTATGGCCAACTGTTTGCAGACGATTGTTGCAAAGGTTTATAAGTTTCTTGTGCTTGAAAAATACAGAGGTAAACCTTTCATTAGTATAGAAATGGTTTAATACAGAACTTGTAGAGCTGTTGGTATGTCTTACCAAAAAGCTTACAATATTGTAAAAAAAATCAGACAAGACAGGGACCGTCTCAAAAGCAAAACCGGGACGTAAAACCATCCTTGACAACTTTGACAAGGGAGTACTTAGACGGGCGGTCTACAAACTTTAGGAGAAGAAGAATGTATATATTCTAAAGAAGCTACACCAGTGACTTCGTTAAATCTTTGGCCAATGTTCACAACTAGATTAAACTGACTGAATTACATCCATATGTTTGCAATGAAATATACTGTTGACATTCAAAACATTTATTAAAACGTTGCACATTTCTACAATCAATCGATAAGATAACACAAGTGATAGGATTCTTTCCAATGTACAGTAATTCGTATGTTTATTTCACAACAAACACACATACACAAATGATCCCTCACATAACCAATACGTATACCATACGTACACATATTCAACAATTTGAAGAAAACATCTATTGAGATGACCTCTCCCCCGAGCGTGTGCTCAGGTGTCAATTTCACCTGTCGATACCGTGCATGCCGATGACGTAACACAGGCAGTTAATGTTTGTATCAAATAACGTCCCACTACCCCTTATTTTTCTAAGTTTTTGGTATTTTCATCAGTAAAAACGCATTTTAGGGCATGTCTCAAACTGTATTTCCTCGGTCTACATTAGGTAGATGTTTCTTAAAGTGATATTTGTTATTTAAGTAACTGTAATACATCTGAATTTTAAATATAACTCAAAAAGCATTTTTCTAGCATTTCCGACAGTACTTTAGAAGACTCTATAGCACAAATATACTGAACATCATTGAAAACGCACCAGTCTAAAATTGTCCATATTTTCATCAAGATGGATTTCAGCATGACAATGATCAATGAATATAACTAACATGAAGTCGAAGGGCATGTCCAGTTGAAAAAATGCATTTAGAAACACATTCCTGTCCACAGTATGACTCTTCATTCCAAAATGCATCAACATGCAGCCACGCCATGAAAAAAGCGCGAATTTCATTCTGAAATCATACTGACTGTGACATTAAAAGCAGGTGTATGAAAACCGTTTCTCATTGCTTCACTAACGATTGTGAAACGAGGACAGAGATGCCGAGGTTAACACCTCACGAAAGTATGGAATACTGTAAGGGACATTCTCGCGATCTCGCATCCTCGCGATCTCGACCTGTGGAAACAAGCTAAAACTGCGAGAATGCGAGATCGCGAGAACGCGAGATTTGGCCAAAATCTCGCGTTCTCGCATTCTCGTGTTTTTGGTACATAGCACTTTTTGTCAAAAGTCGACAACACGAGAATGCGACATTTGTACATGCTGTCAAATCTCGCAATCTCGCAATCTCGACTTGTCAAATAAGGCCACAAAAACACGAAATCGCGAGAACGCGAGAATGCGACATTTCATTTTCTCGCGTTCTCGCGAACTCGCAATCTCGCGTTTTAGACGCTGTCGTTGCGCATGCGTAATATTATAAGGTGCATGCGCATCTTAGTAGTACTCTGGTCATGCTTCTTTCATGCTTTTCATTTCCCAAGTAGCATTTAGCAAAATTATGACATAGCTTGAAAATGCTATGTAATTTACATACACGAAGTATAAGTCCACTCCCGTTGTTACAATTTCCTATGTACCTACAAATCCTCAACATGTTAAATTTTATTTAACAAACGAAATTGTGAATATGAATGTCCAATAAAAGTGAAAACATGAAAGTGTCCGGAAGCTGGAAAAATATTAACGTCAGTGATAAAATATTGCTTAAAGCCACATCAATTCGCAGCTACACCATCAGTTATAGAAATAATCACAGACCAGTGAGTCTCTGCATGATGCTATATCATATACGGCTAGCATATTCATTCAAACAAAATTCTAACCGACCAATTTGTAGCAGTCGGTTTTCGCGTCTTTAGGCCATAAGATATGAATTAATAGATTTTCTTCCGCTCCCGCCTGACTACAAAACACCCTGTCTTACATGATTCTTTTGTCTCCATGTTCCAAGAAATAGAAATGCATTTGTACCAATAATATTTGTGTTCCTCTGGCAGCCATGATATAGTGGAGTTTCAATGTGTTATTTACCACAGACTACGGGTTATGAGTGAGATATCTCTTTATATTTATATACTGGTGGAAGAAGACACCCTGTAATAACAATAATATACACGATATACACAACATAAAATCACATCTGATGAACATGTCATCATAATAAATATAGTGCATAAATGTGCCTATCAACAATCATATACAGGTATTACGCGATGCAATATAGTGATATACAAAATGACTGTTGACATAAAGACTTATAATAATAAACTCTGTCAAAAAAGAAACGCAACCCCTGTATTTTAGAGATTTTGATCTGAAGTTTTAGGACGACACGGCATTTTTATTATTTAAGACAGAAGTCTGAAATTTGGCAGAATAATAACCCAGATGGGCATGTTTAAAATTGTCATTTCAAAAGTCATCTCACAGACACCAGTTTGTCACCAGGGGGGGCGTCTTTCTCAGTATCTCGTATGAGCACCACGCGCTGCAATCACTGCACGGCATCTCCTTGGACAAGAACGGATAAGACGCCGGATTCTTTCCTGGGGAATGGCTCTCCACTCCTCCTGCAGTGCAACGGCGAGCTGTTGCAGCGTCTGTGGCGGCGGCTGACGTTGACGTACGCGTCGATCCAGAGTATCCCACAGGTGTTCAATAGGGTTGAGGTCTGGTGATTTAGAGGGTCATGGCAAGACATTGACGTTGGAATTCTGCAGAAAGTTCATTGTTGCACGTGCAGTATGAGGCCGGGCGTTGTCCCGTTGAAAAATCTGTGTCTGTTGGTCAATAATCGGGAGAAGGTGAAGCTCTAACACGTGGTTGATGTAACGTTGGGCTGTCAGGTTCCCTGGAACGATCACCAAGTCTGATTTCTGGTTGTATGAGATGGTTCCCCAAACCATGACGCTTTCTCCGCCAAATCTGTCCACCTGTCGGACGCAGATGGGCGCAAAACGTTTATGACGTCTCCTATACAGACGCTGTCTTCCGTCGTGACGTTGCAAAGAAAACGTGATTCATCAGAAAACCAGATTCGCCTCCAGTTTTGTAAAGTCCGTATCCTTACGTTGTTGCACCACCTGAGTCGTCGGCGTCGATGTAGGGGGCGTAGTACAGGTCCAACAACTGGTCTACAGGCACGTAAACCCGCTTCTTTCAGACGGTTCCTAATCGTTTGAGCTGACACTAAACCTGGTATTTGCGTGGCATCACGGTTGGTAGGGCACCGATTACGCAGATGGACCCGGATGTACCGATCTTGAAGATTCTTAGCCTTCCACTCTCGGGCGATCGTTGAAATTGAAGTTGTTGTAGCGGCTCCAAAGTCGGGATATCGTTGTTTTGTGAACATCCAACAGCAAAACTTTCTCCGGCCGAACACGACCAATGTATTTCGGTCGGCAACACTCAATCGTGGCAATTTTAACACAGCTCCGACAAATGAATGAATATAATACGTACATGGGCTTTTATACACCCTACATTAACTGCCATTTTCATGATTTGCATGTAAGTCACCATGAGGGTCATTTCATGCGTTGTGACGGAATAATAAAATATACATGCGTACAAATGCATTGATGGTAATCTTCATAATTACGTGTATCATTTCAATACATTCGAATAAAATTTAGTTTGGAAGCAATAACAGAATTTTTCATATCTGAGGACAGGGGTTGCCAAAGAGTTTACATGGTATAATAATTAAATAGACACTAGATAGCCAAAGAACCTATTGATGTGTCTGCACATCCAGCAGCATATCAACGCATGCAATAATCCCAATACACATGATCACATGCTTTGTCAAGTATTCAATATACATGATAGATGAGAAATATCAATCTGACGTGAAACAGAAAATAGTTACCAAACAAGAACTAGTAGCCAGCATATTGACTAGACATATAGAAAACAAACCATAAGCACATTCATACAAGTTAACTGGTATACTGTGTATTTTGTTTATCATGAGCATATTTATACCTATTTTGTGTAATGATTAATATTAGGGTTTAATTTACTATGTATGTAACAATTATAATGTATAATAACTAACCTTTCATTCTGACCAAACTGTGACACTGAACGTTTAATTGTACATGAAACTCAAAGAGACCCGTGAAGGTCCGGGTTAGAATGTATCTTCAGTAACCCATGCTTGTCGTAAGAGGCGGCTAACGGGATCGGGTG